GCCGTTTGTCGGCTCAGCGCGGCAGCCATTTAAATGTAAATGAAGCCGCGATTATTTAAATCGCGGCTTCATTTCCCTTTGCCAATCAGCCTAATCTACATGGCTCCATTGATGGAGCCATGTAGTTTAGACACACCCCATGAGACCAGGATCCCGTTGTGGTAGGTGCTGTACAAACACAGAACCAAAAAAACCCTACCTGTTTTCTGTCCCCGAGAGCTGACAATAAGGTCTGACACAACTGATGACGACCGACAGACTGATGGGGGCATGCAAGGGAACAGAGATTGCCTGGCAGTCTCTGGTGGTGGGTGAATGAGTCTTTAAAACAAACCAAACTGCCTTGGAAGTGTCTTTGTCTCTTACACTAGCGTTGCTGTGCTTACCTGTGTTTTTCCTGGTTTGCCAATTCTCAAAGCATCCTCACAAATCTCACACGGTATTTGTCTCAAAGCCCCTGAAACTCCAACCGCAGCTTTCATTTTACAAAAAACTACATTCCTAGCCCTCACGATGGCAGAGACAAACTCGAAAAGAAGACCCCTGTGTACGCTGGCAGCTCAGACACCACAAGACCAAGGGGAAATTCTGTAAGGTTATGACTTAAACATGAACTCCTGCTCTTTAAGCTGAGCTCACAACTTTCTGGACTCGAAGTGTTAGTAATGCTGCCAAAATTATATCGAGAAAAAGGAACGCAGGGGGAAATAAAGTTATATAAAAAGGCTACTCACCAGGGTAATTTTTCGTTGCGGTTTCAATAGCTTAGGTTTCTGAACAGTATTGGCAATTGGAGCTATAAAAATAAATATCAAGAGCTTACTTCACATAATGCAATTTGGGATAATACTGTTAGCATGTGCATCAGCCGTTATAAACCTGGTTAGCAACAGCAGCAAAAAGCCCACACGTAAGTCATGTTGTGTTATTAAAATCTGAACACCAGTTTCAAAGCCCGGCTCTTGTTTGTGTGTCGAGACGTGCTCGTGCATCTCCGCGTGCTACGATTCACACGTGCGTGCAAACGGCACCTCTTGCACGGCGTGGGCGAGGGAGCTCGGCAAGCCCCACACGGGGGCCTGCAGCCTGGCCCTGGAGGGAACGGTGAACCCCCTTTGAAAATCAGGCCCTGGGGACTAGACTACCACCGGCTCAGTCCGTACAACCCAGACAGGATTGTCTAAGGCATTCCACACACCGGGTGCATTTTCTCTGGAAAATCTGCCCTACTACAGGGCACAATGGGAGCTGACGGGTGGGAGGTGGCCAGTTGAAAACTGGCCCCTATCTGGGTGTTGAGTGCTGGACAGTCAGGGGAGATGACAGCCTTCATGTGCCCTTGGGCAAGGTAGGGAGGGGCTCCACGCTCTTGGAAGGGGCGGAGTCTAGGGGAGGGGGCGGGGCCTCTGGGGCAGCCAGCATTCTATGCAGTCCAGAGTGCGCCATGCTGCCTCCTATCCCAGCGCTCCGGTGGCAATGAAAAGGTTCCAGGGCTCTATCCGGGACCTGGAGCTATCGCTGTCTCTTACCTTCCCGCCCCCCCCATCGATGGGCCTGCTGGCCCTAGACGAACAAGGTCTAAACAAACAGCAGGGCCTGGCCCGAGTCGAGCTAACATAACAAATCCCCCTGTCTCCGCCGCCTCGCCAGCGGGGATCACAAAGCCCGGAGCTGTCGGAAGGCAGGGCCCGTTTGTCACGGGGGGAAGCAGAGGAACGGAGAAGTGAATTAATGTGCCCTCGCTCAAGCGGTGAGTGGCAGAGTCTAAGATAGAACCCAAGAGTCCTGGCTCCCGAGGCCTTGCCCTCCCTATGCAATCACCCCCGTTGCTGGACACACGGCTCTGTCGGCTGCTACCTTTGGCCGGCACCGCCGGGGGCTGCTCAACCTTCTCTTTCTTTTTCTTTCCTTTTTTGGGCTGCAGCGGGGACAGACTCGTCACGCTGGTGACCGTCTCGCCAGAGCTGGAAAGCGAAAAGAAGGGTGGTTAGGGCAAGAATGAAACCTGCGTGTTCCCACCCGGCGTCTTCACGCCAACCGCGGTGACATGGGCCGTCACGTGCCCTTGGGCAAGGTAGGGAGGGGGCTCCATGCTCTTGGAAGGGGCGGGGCCTCAGGGGAAGGGGCGGGGCCTGTGGAAAATGGCTGGATCCTGACCCCACAGCACTTTGAAAATCTATACAAATGGGAATTTCTGCCCCATTCCACCAGGCCCTGCTCTTTTTTCTAGCGCCCAGGCTATCTGGTCAATAGGCTTGTATCTTCGTCCGCTCTGGCTAACCCAGGAAGTGCCAGGTGTCCACATGGCCAGATTTAGACAATTATGTCTTGTTCATGATGCTTACAGACCCCCCAATGACCATATCGGCATGTTACAACCTGCAACCTGCCCACAACCCCCGTCCCACAGGTCGGAAAGTGCTGTTTCCCTCATGGGGACCCCAGGCCCACAGCGGCTACGGGGCCTCAATGAGACTTAGGAAGGTGGAGGATCTGGGATTTGAAGGGGCGGGGCCTATGAGACGTGCCCAAGGCATGACGGAAAGTGTGTGGCAACATGATCCCACATCTCTATTAAGACCAGAACATGGCCATCCCGCGGAACAGAATCGGGTTCACTGGTTGGACGGACGCCATGCTTGGACTATTCAGCCCAAAGTATAGGCTCACTTCAGAAAGTGGCTTTATAAAAGTGAAGAGTTGATGGTTTCGGTGATTCTGAACGTTAATTTCAGCCACGCAAAGTAAGTGGGAAGGGGGGGGGAGAAGTAATTTCAAAGTTCCTTTGTGCAGCTGAAAAAACTTTAAAAAACGACTAATACTCCGCAGCCCCTTAGAACCGTGTTTCACAACCAGGGTTCTGCGCTGAAAAAACTTTAAAAAACGACTAATGCTCCACAGCCCCTTAGAACAGTGTTTCCCAACCAGGGTTCCACCCATCGTCAGGGGTTCCGTGAGAAATCGTGGAATAAATAAATAAACATTTTGAAATACCGCAAACAATTCCAAATATCCCTCGAAATAGCGTGGGAATTTTTGTCCAGCAATTGGCAATACTGGAGTCGTCTTCATACGCTACCGACTGCCTCTTCGTTTTGTTTTGATCAGTTCGTATCTAAGGTTATATTTAGTTGTATTGTGCCTGCTATTTTGTAAATTTGTAGTCTTTGCGCAGTTTCGTAATCAACATTTTTACCAAAACTGTGGTTGTTTTCGTGTATCTAAAATCTCACCTATGTAACAGTATTTTCATATGACCGTCGAAAACAAAAAAACTGTATCTAAAATCTCACCTACGTAACAGTATTTTCATATGACCGTCAGAAACAAAAAAACGTGGAAGTATATGAAAAGAAGGTGTGTTAGTGAAGGAGAGGTCAATGAAAATGAATCAAAGTTATCAGAGCCAAGTACGAGTGAAACAGGAAGAGAAGTGACTGATAAAAAAATTCTTCCTATGTAAGCTGACATATTTATATATATATAAAAATAATAGCTCTTTATTGTCAAGAAAATGTATTTAGAGAAGTGACTGATATTTAAAAAATTCTTACAATGTAAGCTGGCATATATATATATAAAAATAAATAATAGCTCTTTACAAATACATTTTCTTGACAATAATTTAGCAGTAATTTAATTGCGCTCCCCGCTGTCAACTTTTTCAGGCCAAGCAAACGTTTTCAGAGGTAGGGGTTCCTCGGGATATGAACAATTATTTTAGGGGTTCCTCCCTGGGAAAAAGGTTGGGAATCACTGCTTTAGAAGATAACAATGTAGATGGTGACAAAAAAAGTGCATCTGTGACTCTAAACAGCACCTGAAAATAAAGAGTCCTGGGCACTTTAAAGACTCACAAATTTATTAGGGCATAAGCTTTCGTGGGCTTTTTTGATCATCTTGCAAGTGCCCCAGGACTCCTTATGGTTTTTGCTGAAACATGAGAACATGCCGACCTCTCTACACACCACCGGCAATTTGACTCATCTGAAGAAGTGGGTTTTGCCCACAAAAGCTCATGACTCTATGTATATATATATTTTGTTAGTCTCTAAGGCTATGTCTAGACTGCAGGCTTCTTTCGAAAGAGGCTCTTTCGAAAGAGAGCGTCTAGACTGCACGGAGAAATTCGAAAGAGAGCATCTAGACTGCATGGAGAAATTTCGAAAAAGCGGCTTGCTTTTTCGAAAGAAAGCATCCAGTGAGTCTGTATGCTCTCTTTTGAAGAAGCACTATTTACATTGAAGAACGCCTCCTTTCGAAAGAGGAACTTTCGAAAGAAGGCGTTCTTCCTCGTAAATTGAGGTTTACCGCCATCGAAAGAAAAGCCGCGTTCTTTCGAATTAATTTCAAAAGAACGCGGCTTGAGTCTGGACGCAGGGGAAGTTTTTTCGAAAAAAGGCTACTTTTTTCAAAAAAAACCCTGAGTCTGGACACAGCCTAAGGTGCTACAAGACTCCTCAATTTTTTAAGTTACAGACGAACCTGGCTCCCCCTCTGAGACCACCAGCAATCGGTCACCAAATAAAAACTGCAAAGGGAAACAGACCAAAAAAAACCCAATGGGAAATGCAACCGACCAGCCGCGTGCCAAAAAGAAAAGACCAAGCCGTGATGAAAAAGAGGACCGGATTGTTTTAAAATGATTTTGCACTGGAAGGGTTGCATTAACGCAGTAGACGCGTGGTTTAAAATGATTATCCTCTGGAGCTTGTGCCATCCAGCACAGCAATGCGAGAGGGCTTCGTGTCAGGCCAGCGCGTTTGTTCTTCTTCCTGCCTGGCCACGTGAAAGAGAAGCCCCCGAGAAACTTAGCCATGGCGTGTCCTTTTATTACAGGGTTGTGCAGGGTTAACTGGCCCCAGCAGATACAACGGGTGCACTTGCTGTTTCAGAATCCAGTTCCTCCCACAGAACGGGGAGATTCGTAAAGGCTCCTTGGCTCAGAAACACTGGGGCTTTGTCTTGCTTCTCTTGTCCAAAGTTAAAAGGAAAGAGTCTTTTCTTATATATACTGGAATCCTCCCTCCCCCTCACCTCCTGGTTTGCACTCTGTGTCACGTGATACTCTCCACGCAGGAGCTAATGGGCTTTTCGAGCGCAAGGCAACGCAGGGAATCGGGGAGGGGGGAGAACGGGGTGTGGAAATAGGCAGGGAAGTAGTTTTAAGGTTAGAGCACCGGGATAGAGGGTTATTTGCGGGTCTGTCGTCTGGATTTCAGACTCCTGAAAGAGCTGGGAACGTGCCCTGTTTTACAGTTCTGTCGGGAAGCACTGCTTCTCCTGGGTTTGCTTTGGTCAATAGCTCTCCCCTCCGCCAGGCTGTGGCAGGATAACTAGAGAAAGGCTCAAGCCAGGAAAGTTGCATGTGGATTTGAAGCAGAAGGAGCACGAAGAGTCCTTAAAGATCTGTGCGGGCATAAGCTTGCACGGGCAAACCCTCACTTCGTCTGACACCTCTTATGCCCAAATCAATCTGTCTGTCTTTAAGGTGCTTCGTTGTTTTTACGGTGTCCTTGTGTAACCTGGGACAAGTTTGAGTTCGGCTCTTCAAAAGACAGCCAGGCTCCTAAATTCCATTACAACGAAATGGAAATTGGGAGCCCGTTTGGCTTTTCTGAGGATCTGAGCCTCTGTGCCATACCGGGCAATTGTGTGGATCCACACCTGAAAGACTGTGAGGTCAGGTGCTCGGATAGTCCCTTTGGTAGCCCTGTCTATGCAATCTGGACCTGGATTCTGGTTCAGATGCGATCTGTCCCACAGGCTGAGCGGAGAGGCAATGCAACAGTCAGGGTTTGCAGGAGTCTCGTGTAAACCGGTTCGGAGGGCATTCGATGGATGCTCACACCCCTAGATTCTCACACTTTTCTAGCAAGTTGTTTTCAATCAGCCTCTCTCATGGTTGGACTGGATAGTTTTTGTGGGACTCAGGATCACGTTCCAGGAGAGAAATGATCTTAATTATAGGGTGGAAAATAAAAGTTACTCACACGTTGAACATTAACTGAAGCTCGCGACTTGCAGCTTTGAACCCTGTCTCCTCCTGCAGTTTTTGGTTGCTGTGATTCCTTTCCTCCCTGTTCAGTTGCATATATTTGCTGTTTGATTTTTCTCAATCTTCTCTCTGCCTACACCAGACACGGGCGGGACAGCGGACTCCATGGGTGTGTCTAGACTACAGGGTTTTGTCGACAAAAGTAACCTTTTGTCAACAAAACTATACCTGTGTTTACACTACTGCCGAGTTCTGTCAACATAACGTTGACAGAACTCGGCAGTTTTGTTGATGGTGGTAAACCTCATTCTACGAGGAATAACGCCTTTTGTCGCCAGAGTTCTGTCGCCAGAAGGCGTTATTGCATCTACACTGTCCTTTGCGTCTACACTCTCATGTCGACAAAGCGGCTTGCTTTGTCGACAGAACTGGCTGTAGTCTAGATGCTCTTTGTCGACAGAAGCTTGGTCGACAGTATCTGTCGACAGAAGCCTGTTGTCTAGACGTACCCCATGATTTACTGAGGTGGTGTATGTGGATTTGAAGCAGAAGCTACACTTCCCCAGATTTTAAAAGTACTTAGGGGCTTCATTCCCAGTGGAATTCCTGTGCACAAGGGTCAGATGTTAGAGAGATTTGGTAAGGGTCAGATGTTAGGAGCCTAAGAGGCAACAGTCCCTAAGTCACGTAGGTGCCAAATCTCTCTAAGTCACTTACGCCCTTTGCATTTCTCCTTCTCCTTAATTTATGACCCTGCCTGGCTGCAAAACGAAGGATCACTCCCTACAGAACGCTGCCACTGTGACGTGGGATTTTCAGAAATTGAGGAGCACAAATCAGTACTTATTTTTGCCTTGGCACTGGTGGGCTTTTTCAAGTGGGTTAATTTTCTCCTTTCTTTTTATCCTCGTTGATCTATTTAAATCCCCCTTCCCCCCCACACCCCTTCCTGCTTCCTCTGAGAGGCTAGTTTCAAAACAGAAACAAGCAGCCATGGTCAGTGAAGGGAAAGATGAACAACAAGATCCATGCTGCCGATGCCCTGGCTGGGCGGGTCCCAGAAGACGGGTCATTCACATCAAAGCCTTGCGCTGCATTGAACTATCAATTGCTTTATTGTGAATTCACTTAGGCTGCTAGGCATGAATGCCCGAATTATCCCACTAGCGGGGACTGAACACTACGCTGGCAAGATGCAGGACGTGCTATATTTAGTCCGGGACCAGAGCCAAAAAGTGCTTCCAGAGCAAGGCCCACGTGATGAAGTTAAGGTCCAATATCTTTCAGACTGTACCGAGGCTGCAAACAAACGCTTCACGTCGCGGGAAAGCTGCAAGCCTCTGCTTTCTTTGCATTGAAGCATCCGTGTCTGGGCTTGGCCGGTCGTCAGAAATGCCGTTATGTTTTTCTCCACTTTAGTTCCAGTGTTAGTTAGATGGCAGGAAACTCAAGCACGGGGACTCAGTGCTTAATACGAGCCAGGGAAGTGGTGGAGTCTCTCCAGTCTTCGGGGTCCTTACATGACGATGGGATAGCCTTCTCGAAGCTCTGCTCTAGCTTAGCCACCAGCTGCTGAGCTGTATGCGCGAATCACTGCGTCAAAATCGCTGGCCTGTGCTAAGCCGGAGCGCAGACCAGATCAGACTGGCCGAATGGCTCCATTCTCGAAAGACAGTAGCATTTTCAAAAGAGCCTTAAGGCCAGATATTAAAGGTGCTTAGGTGCTTCATTCCCAGTGGAATGAATGGGTGCTAGGGTCAGATTTTAGAGATATTTGGCACCTAAGTGGCTTAGGAGCGGTTGGCTCTTAGTCACTTAAGTCCTTTGCTTTTCTTCTTCTCCTATGACCCCGCAAAGCTGTAAACCCGAGTGTTACTCCCTACAGAGCGCCACCACCATAACGCCCGTCTGAGAGGGCCTCAGGGTAGGATTCTGTGAAATTTAGGAGCACAAATCAATAGCCCAGGCCCTCTTGAAAATCCTGGCTCTAGGAGCCGGAGCAGTTTCTTTGCACAACCTCCCAGCTCCCCCTTTTTGAAATTCTGTTGACTGTTGTTAAACCAAAGGGGGGGAAAATTTTTTGGACCGGGGGCCACTGACCCGCAGAAGAATCAGTCGGGGGCCACACACAAGTGAGAAGCGGGAGGACTGGGGGGGAGGGGAGACCATGAGCCCTCAGGTCTTAGATTCCCCACCCCTGTGTTAAACCCTTGAGGACTCTTCCACGCAAACATCATCCAGTTTGGTTTTCGCTCCAGTGGCTGCATTGCTCTCTCTCTGCTTGCAAAGTTGGCGGTTCAAATCCCAGCAAGAACCGATGAAGGCTCTACCCACAGCAACATGCCTTTCATGCCTTCTCTCTGGTGTCCAGCAGGAGTGCACGGCTCGACAGCATCCACGTGGAATGGTGCCCAGCCATGAAGTCCCTCTTCTGGAGGAGTTCGGTGCCTTTGTGCGGTGGGGACTGAGCGCTTTCTGAAGGAAGAGGCAAGCCCTGGCAGTGTTGTCCTCTAGCCGACCGGAAAGGATGTCACAGCTAGCTGGTTGCGTGATACCATCTGGCCATCCAGGCTGGGATGAGGTTATATTGCCCTCTGGTTGGCAGACCCATCTCTGGAAAATTTGTTTTGGGGCTTCAGGCCCTAGGGCGTGTACTTGTGGCTGGCAAAAACAGGAGTATCAGGATGCCGTCTCGGTGGTATCTGCTAGGGACGTCCTCCTGCAATCCAGACTGGAGTTTCCTTCTTCGGCTCTCTCACAGCCACTCTGACCTTACTGACCTTACCCAATTTCAGCCGGGGGCGTGTCCCTTCCCCTCCACCCACCCCTTACCGCAGTCAGTATATGTCCCAAAGGAGGCGGCGACCTGGTCCGTTACCATTAACCAATCAAAAGACATTTCAGGGAGTTCATCCGAAAACATCCCCTCCCGCTTCTAAAACCCGCCTTCCCATTGTCCTATCGTCCCATGAGCTTTCCAGGTGACTCGAAGAGTTCCTGTAGCCTGAACACGTCCCATTTCTACCTCTCTGGCTGTCTCTACAGTTCGCTGAATTTCTAGCCGGTCCTATCGTCCCATGAGCTTTCCAGGTTACTTGCAGAGTTCCTGTAGCCTGAACACATCCCGTTTCTACCTCTCTGGCTGTCTCTACGGTTCGCTGAATTTCTAGCCATGCCACTGTGGTGGGCTGGTCCGTGCTACCAATACAGGCCTCTGGCATAGAATCCTAGAATCAAAGAACTGGAAGGGACCTCGAGGGGTCATCGAGTCCAGTTGCGTGCCTTCATGCCCGGGGACCTCGAGGGGTCAACGAGTCCAGTAGCGTGCCTTCATGCCCCGACTAAGCACGGTCTAGAACATCCCTGACAGGTGTCTATCTAACTTGCTCTTAAATATCTCCAGGGATGGAGATTCCACACCCTCAGTAGGCAACTTATTCCAGTGTTTAACCACCCTGACAGGCACGAAGTTTTTCCTAATGTCCAACCTCAACCTCCCTTGCTGCAGTTTAAGCCTATTGCTTCTTGTCCTGTCCTCAGAGGCCAAGATGAACAGTTTCCCCCTTCCTCCTTGGAACACCCTTTTAGATATTTGAAAACCGCTATCCTGTCCCCTCTCGGTCTTCTCTTTTCGAACTAAACAAGCCCGATTCCTTTACTCTTCCCTCATCGCTCATGTTCTCTAGACCTTTAACCATTTTTGTTGCTCTTCTCTGGACCTTCTCCAATTTCTCCACTTCTATCTTGAAACGTGGTGCCCAGAACTGGACACAATTCTCCAGGTGAGGCCTAACCAGCGCGGTGTAGAGCGGAAGGATGACTTCTCGTGTTTTGGTCACGACACTCCCGTTAATGCGTGTATGGCTTTGGTTGCTGGGCTACGTTTCTCCTTTCAGTGAAGTTTTCTTTGCACAATGGGAAGTCAAAGGTGGAAGGGAACTTAAGTTTGTGCCTATTAGCCAAGCATTCTGAACAGATGATTTTTGAGGTGCATGAAATCTGGAGCTGGATTTCCATCCAATAAATGTCCGAGGAGAGAAGTAGCCACAACATCATCATCTTCTTCACCATTATCTATTATTTATAGCGCACAACAGAACGCTGGGAGTTTTATACACATCCCATGGAAAAGGTGCTAGGTATGACTTTCAAAAGTGCCAAAGAGGTTTAGGAGCCCCACGGACTTTCACCCAACCCCACTGGAATTTTACACCGCTACTTTGGAGCCCTCAGTGAAAATAAAACACGCGTGGTACAGCAAATTATTGAAAAAAGAAGTGCATTTTCATACCTGTTCTGGGGACTTTTCACCAGATAATGCTTCACTGTTAAAGGGGGGGAAAAGAGCAACAATAAATAAATGCAGCTTCACAGATCCAGGAATTTTGCGCTACAAAGAGACACAGCTGATAGGTCCTAGCATAGCCTCTCCTGGAACTGAACAGATGTCTGCTTTTACCCCTCGAAAGCTGCTAGCGATAGCTGGTTGGACGGAAAAACTTTTGTTTCCCTCGTGGGGCTTCAGGTCTGCATTCTGTCCGCAAAGCTCTTGGTAAAAATATGTCTCTGTGCAAAAGCCTGAAAGCTAAACCGTCCGCCCAGGGGAGCCGCTGGGGTTCCTAGCACGGAGCTCCGGCATGGCACCTGCCAGACGAGAGCAGAGGATGGTGTGAGAGCGGGGGAATAGGCTGCCCATGAAGGGACACTCAGACTAGCTTTGGCTCTGACGCGTGAGGCTTTATCTCCCTCACAGAACCGGTTTTTTCTAAGCATGAATTATTCTAACTCCGGGCGTTCCTGGGATCGGATTCCTCCGCCCAGCCTGAGGTGGTGGCGCACCCCCACATGCCAGAAGAAACAGAGGAGAGGTCCCCGCGTTCCTGGGATCGGATTCCTCCGCCCGGCCTGAGGTGGTGGCGCACCCCCACATCCCAGAAGGAACAGAGGAGAGGTCCCTCGGGGAGTCCCCTTGCCTCGTGCTAGTTGGCTGGGTTTGCCCTGTCTGGCTCGCCTTGTCTGCTCCATTGCGGGGAAGTTGGGGCACAGCTCTGTTCTCCTCCCCCAACCCTGAGCCATGGTGTTCCAGACTCCCTGTCCAGAGTCCCTGAACGTCTGTATACGACTGGAGCTCAACGTAAGAACGGTGTGGGCGGGAGTGGGGCTGCCCCACGGTTAACAGGTTAAACCTAGCGTTTCATCAATGAACATGGCAAAAGTTAATGAACACGCCCAGGGAGATAGAGACTGCGCACTGCTACCGAGCGGATGGTGAGGCTACACCCTGAGGCAGAGAAATGGGCCTTCTCTCTCTGAGGGAGTACAGCTCTGTCTACAGCAGTGGTTCCCAAACTTTTCGGCATCACGCCCCCTTTTCGATTTTTGAGAAACCCTCGTGCTCTCCCCCCTTTTCGATTTTTGAGAAACCCTCGTGCCCTGCCCCCCAGCAGCAAAACTTGTTGAGCAAAAATGAAAAGGAACAGACCGAGGCCAAAATAGCAACAAAACTTAGGAGGGGAGGGGTTTGACGAGGAGAAGGGGCTGGGGCACCTTGCTCCCCCCCTGGAATTTCTTCATTCCCCCCCCCAGGGTGGCCGGCCCCCTAGTTTGGGAACCCATGGTCTACATGATTTACAAACTTAGGACCCGTCTTTTTTTCCTCCCTGGACACACCCTCTGCACCCCTCTTCAAACAAAGGTGTGTGTGTTGTTGTTGTTTTTAAACCTAGACATTAACTAGAGCTGATCAAATTTTTGTAGTTATGCGGGAGAGAGGGAGAATTTAAGTAAAAATATTTTCAAAATCCCTGATTCAACAAAAATTCAGGTTTTTTTTTTTTAAATCAAAACAAAAAATTGGGTAATCAAACTTTGGGTTTGTTCTGAAAACCAAATAGCAATGCAAAAACAAAATGAAAACGGACTTTTCTTTCCTTTCAATGGTTTTTTTTATATCACAATTATTCCCTGACAGATGTCCGTAGAAATCGTTCACAATTTTGGAAGAAAATCAATTGGGATTCCACCTTTGAAGCTGGCAGATTTTATTTGTAAGTCCGAGGGAAGCAGATTTCTTTTTCCACTTTCCATATTCGTCTGCTGCCTTCTCGTGGTTTCACTTTTTCTCCTCCACAACCAATCCCTTCCCCTCCCTGGGCTGCACTTCCTGTCACTCACCTCTGGATCGTTTCTTGTTCAGCAGCGACTGGCAGAGGATGACCAGTGTGAAAAGGAGGACACTGATGATACCGACGGAACACACCAACACGGCATAGACGTATAGATCTGAAAGGCAAACCGAGAGTTCCTCAGCCCGGCTCACATGAACATAGGGAAAAGGACCCCTTCTGAACAAGACAGAAATAGACCGGCCCAGTCCCAAAGAATTGAGAGTAACATTTTGCGACGTTTTTAAGTCACATAGGCACCTAATTTGGAAGTCTATGAGAGTTAGGCACCTACCTGCCTTTGACAATCTTACCCCCAACCTTTAAAGTGAGCAAGACAAATCGGATGGGGAGCTTAAAAGCCTAAATCTGCTCACACTGATGTCTGTAAGTATTTGACTATCACAGATTTTGGCCAGCATGGAGCCCTTTTGAAAACTGCCTTCTAAAATAGGGCCTCATGTTTCTTCTCCTTCCTGCCTTTACTATACAATGGACTCAGCTCGCTTCATTGAAGGGAGCTTTACTAATTGCCTTGAAACCCCCCACCCTGTGAGGCAGGCCAGTTTTACTCCGTTATGCAGAGGGGAAACTGAGTCACGGAGTGGTCAAATGGATTGTGGCAGACAGCACTAAACAGGAGTTATCTTAGGGCCAGAGAGGTTATCTTTGCTTAGGGAGATGGGTGGCCATGCTCCAGACCAGGTATCATTTGCTTGCCTTGTTACTACAAGGTACTGCAGAGAGTCTCAGAAGTGCTCGACTCATCAGCCAGCCTCCACTGAAGTCACTGGAAGATGAGGTGGCATGGTATGCCGGAAGAGGCTGTCATGTATAGGAGTTGCTAAGGAGTCTGATTTACCTGGAGAGTGAGGAAAGGGTTAAGCAATTCTGGAGATGCACCTGAGGGAGGGGGCTTCGGGCATACAGCCAATGAAATGCAGATAGGAATTTCAAACCAAGAGAGAGTTTTTTTCTCTCTCTTCCTTTGTTTTGAAATCAGAACAGTTTTTTTTTCCAGGAAACCGACTCCCTGAAGTATATAAATTGGAAAAAGTTTAGATAGCCCGTCAGGTTTTATTGTTTTCCTTGTTTGGAAGTTTGGAAATCATGTCTGAGCTGGTTAATTGTTTTTCTCTTTTGTAACTAAGGATTAGAGCCCAGGACTTTCCTTTCTCTTTTGTAACTAAGGATTACAGCCCAGGACTTTCCCGGAGTCTATTTCACTCCATGGCTTTTAACACCCAGTCATTTACTATGCTTGCAACAGTAGTTTTGTTTTGATAATAAAAGTGTTTTCTTTTTGATTAACCAAAAGTGTTTTCTTTTTGTGTTGTTTAATTGGTTGATTTTTGTTTCCTTAAACCTACATACCTATTTACTCAGGAGGAGAAGAGCCTCGCTGTTCTCTACGGATTACCTGTTTGTTTTCCCAACTCCAAGCAAAATGGAGGTTGGGGCTGGAGAGGGGACCGTTTTGCCTCAGGAAGTGGGGTTCAAGTGACCTCTTCCCTGGAAAAAGGCTTATTTTATATTTTTTACTTGCACTTGAGGGTGGCAGCAAACCAATTGCCTTTCTTTTTGGGTCTCAGGGAAACTGAGACCAGACAAGTTTGTCTCTGGGAGTTACACAGACAGGTTCTTACAGAGTTAATTCTGCTAGCCAGCCCCCATATCTACACTCCAAGTGCCAGGTTGGGGAACTGAGCTATGAGAGAGGCACTCAGCACCAAGCTGGACTAAGTCCTATGTTTGCACGGCTCTCTCACCTAAAGGCCAGATACAGGGCAGTTTCTTATTGGTCCCTGCGTTTCTTTTTGAGAACTCGGCAAAGTGTTTACTACGCCCTTTACTACGCTCTCGGGAAGCAGCTGGAAATTGTGTCTCACTTAACACAACGGGGTTCTGATCCCGACTGGGGAACTCAGTTGCTACCACAATACAACCACGGCTGGTGTCTGAATAAGAAACTACATGGAAACAAGGGAGAACGTAAAATGCATCTTTACCTTCAAAAAACTTCCACGCCTCGTGGGTTTTCCCAAAGGTGGGCTCTTCCGTGGCTTTTGATGAGAACACTGCAAGGGACAAATAAACACGATATAATTAAAACGGTGCCCAAAGGGTGAAAGTCTTTCACTGAAGCCAACGGGAGTTCTCCCATTGACTTCAACGGAGCCAGGATTTCACCTGGACTGCTCTGCAGGAGGTTCATGCCTGATGCTGAAACTCCTGGATGATAAAATGGCAGCATGTCGCTTGGCAAGACTCGATCCTGCCTAGCATCGAGTCTCTGCCGCTCCCGTAGAAGTGACTCCAAACTGCTTCCTGACGTTGCGCTAGGAAGGCGGGTGATGTTGCAACAGAAATCCGGAAGTCTGCGGCCCTGTCCCACCTTGGGCTGTGACGGGAGAGAAATGGGCTGATTTGCGAGAGCAACGCGTTAGATGGATCAGGTGCTGTGCCAGAGTGGACTGTTATGGAGGCGGGGGCGGGGAAAGAAACCCTGAGCAGATGACTCCCGGTACTCTGTCCTCTCAGAGGCTGCTGGGAGTGGGCGGGGCCTGAGGACTATATAAACCAGCTCATTCCAGAGGGGAGGAGAAGACTGGCAAGATGGAGGGGCAAAGTGTACCAGAAAGGGACGAGAGGACGAGAAAACACCTTATGAGATTGGGCCCAGGCGGGGGCCTACTTCTCTAGGAAACTGAGGACTCAACTGAAAGGCAAGAGAAAATAGGGGGAAACAGGAGGGATGATTTGGGTGCAAATGATGATACATTAAATACTGACAGGCCCCTTTGATAGTTACTTCTACCGTCTCTCCGCCGCCGTTTTTCTTCTCCCTCCCTCCCCCTTTTTTCCTTGGTGATCAAGCCACGCTGGCCCACCTGGCAACTGCACGGGTGTGTGACCCGATAAAAATGGGGGTGAGAGGCAAGACAAAGCCCCGAATATTGGGAGTGTCCCCTATAAAATCGGGACGTCTGGTCAGGCGTGGGAGGTGAGTTTCAAGGTTGGAATACTTCAAATTCTACTTAATCAAGTTGAGCCATGGCCTCATGCCATGGCTGTCCCCACTGTCCCCCTCAACAGCCAGGACCCTTCCCAGAATTTGGGGGCGTGAACGGGACATGCCTGCAGTTCCCGGAAAAGCGCCGCACCAGGGTCACTCTCACCTCAACACTACCCCCATGGCTGGAGGCGGGGCGGCCTGCCTCGGTTTCCCTCTCTCACAAGGCTCCTTGCTACCACGCTGCAGTCCATAATAGGGATGTTAGATATCGTTTAATTGAATAATCATGGCACCGCGCCAAACCGTAGCGGTTCCATGAGGATTTGATAGTCCCCGGGGGTGGGGCCCAGTGGGCAGCGCGCTCCCGGCCCCCTGCCACCTCACGCTGCTGCCTCTGATACAAAAACAGCTGTGTGGGGGGCAAGCGGGAGCTGGTTTTTAAACCGGCTCCCCTCGTGGATCGGCTACAGCGTGCCACCCCTGTCCACGGGGTGGGGGAAAGCTCCCGGCTGACAGAGGCTGCGCCGGCATCCCACGGAGACACACACCTCGCTGTGGGCGCTCTGCTAATCAGCTGGGATCTCTCCCGAGCAGCCGCCCGGGCGGCCACGTCCAGGGCACCCCGGCGGCAACTCCGGTGAGCGGAGCGCGGCGACGGGCCTGCCGGCAGGGCGTGAATTACGGCGCGTCCCCGGCAGGCTCCACGGAGCCCTTCTGTCTCCACGGCTGGCCCCGCTCCCCAGCCCAGCGTTTAACGAACGCACACTCAGGAGGAGAAGCTCTTTGTTCTGCGTAAAAAAAAACCCCCCGAGGGAGGCGGTTTGGCCGAGCCGGCGGGGCGGCCTCTCTCGGGCCTGCGGCTCAGAGCCGGTTGCCTGGCGATGCCCCCCAGCCCGCATGGAATTCAGCACGCGGCCTCTGCCAGCGCTCCCCGTCCTTTCCCAGGCTCCTGCCCGGCTCCCTTCCCCCCTCCGGAGCCTCTGCCCGCCCGGCCTGATTCAAGGGCCTGTGGGGTGCGGCAGCCGAGGCGCCCGGGCTCTTTAGTTTCAGCCCCACGTCCCCCAGCTCCGTAGGCAACCTCGGGCCGGGCCTTGAGAAGCGGAGAAGGAAGCGGGCAGGGCTTGGAGCCGCTCTCTGGGTCTCGTCCCTCTGTGGCCGGCTTGGAGGGAGGGGAAGCAGAGCCGGGGAGCAGCCTGAGGGAGCCAGAGCTGACGCTTCAGGGGCAATTAGCAGAGCAGGGTGGTTGGGTCGAGGGAGGGCCAGTGGGTACTGTGTGGATTTGACACAGCCGGTCGTGGGGCCCTCCAAGAGAGAGGAATGCAAAACTGGGAGCCGTGGGCCTTGAGGTCTTCAGTGCTTGGGGCTAGGAGCAGCTGATGCCAGGGGTGTGGACAGCACAGGAGCACACCTCAGGCCTGCCCAAAGCCCTGATGTCCTGCCCAGCTCCAGCGCCCCACAGGTCCTGTTTCCCCATCCCTACAGTCCCAGTGACTAGACACAGCCCTATACCCAGCCCTGGAGCTACAAGTTCTTCACACCCACTTCCCAGCTGCCCATGGGTGGGAAACTGAGGCAGCTGCCCCACTTTTCCGCCCCACCCCTTTCCCCACAGCGGCTGGCTCTTTTGTGGCGGCGGGGAGTACCAGGAAGGGAGAAGGAGAGGCGGCAAGGCACCACCATGGCTGGCCGAGGGATTCGACCACAGGAGGATTCCTGTCTGGTACCGGGTTGGACGCCTGACAGCGCCGCAGGGCTGTGAGCCTGTGACACATGCAGGAAAGTTGTCCTGCACACCGCTGAGTCACGACAGAGATGGTGACTAGCCACCATCAGTTGACACAGAGTCAGTGCTACAAAGGCAAACATCCAGATCTGGAAGATCACTGCATTCGAGAGACGCTCACCACGTTTGGGAGGGGGCTCCCCCTAAAAGCCCAGCTCCCCGGGAAATCTCAGCTTTCTTTGTTTGCTGTGAGAATTTCCAGCCCTGATGGCAGCAGAGAAAAGCTGGAAAATGTGATTCAAACACCAGCAGGCACCATAAAAAAAGAACCTAAACCGTATTGTTTTTTAAACCGTGATTGCTTTAAAAGCTCATGATTTCTGGGGCCTGACTCAGGATTTGCCTCGAATTCCTCTTACAGCTCTTGAATTTTAAGAATCTACCTGCTCTGCAGTGGAGAAAGTGTCCTTTTTTAAATGCATGAACTTCATAGTTCCCAGTAAAATTCCCCCGTCAGGAAAGGTGGGCTTTCAAGGCATTCACATGGCAATTTGAACTCTGGGACCTATGATCCTCCATTGCTTAACTAGAGCAATGACTCCAGTCTGTAAGTGTTGTATGACTTTTCCCCTCTGTCCTTGTCACGAAACGGGGCATATGTTTCTATAGATCTGTTTTTTCCTGTCTGTGAAAATTCAGACTTTTCACAAGTCACCATGTGATGATTTTGCTGCCTTCCTTTGGCTTCATACCCACTCACCACAAGCTTTTTATTTTAAGATGCTGGTAGGACCCAATCTCGCTGAGACCCGTGGGAGTCCATCCGGGGCTTCGAGGGGTGTTAATGGAGGCCCTAGGATAGGTTGTACGGGAAATCCAGTTGCAGCTGGAAGATGCTGATGTGACACACTCTGCTTTGCAGACACTGACCACGTGGAGAAACAAAGACACACACTCTTGGCCAGGACTCAAAACTGAACACAAACTTTCTCTGAGGTCTGGGGAAGTGTGAGACCTGCCTCTTCCCTCCCCCTCTGACTATATGCTACCGTTCCTATTTGCATCCTCAGAGCTTCCTTCCCTATTTTAACCAGGAACAGAAGCAGAAATACCAAAACTTGGGCACTGTCTAGAGGGAAATTGAGATCTATCATTGCATTGCTCCAACAACTGGTGGAATTACGATCTGGGGTCATTAGCGAAGGAGCTAGAAGCAAAGTGCAGCTCCAGATTTGGATCGGTGGGTTCCCCAAAATAAGTGAAGATCTGAGATTTTAGATCAGGCCACATTATTTCTAGACTGGCTGCATGCATGGAATATGGAAAAGCTCCTACAAAATCTTGTGGAAATCTCCTGGCCAAATTTTGCTGGCTGGAGAAAATCAGATGGTTTAGATTATGACAAAAATAAAACCACATTCATACACTTTGGCACTGAGCCGAACTGGACTTCAACTCTAGAACTTTGGGAGAACTTCCCCAGCTACTAATAACTTCAGCGAGGCACATTACTTTAATCTCCTGAGTTTAATCAAGACAGGTTTAAACATTAGCGGGCAAAATGCAGCCGCTCTTTACTCCTGATCATATATGTTTCATATTCTGTCTTTTATCTGCGAGTCAGCAACGTGAAAACGGGTGACGTTTATGAGCTATCGATAGACATCATCTATCTGTTGCACTGTTTGTCTCCCTCTGGGCATTAGTACAGAGGAAGCTTAATTAGAAGGCGGTAGCTAGCACCTTGGGAAACATGCTGTAAGTTTCTCTGGCGCAAGATATTACCGAAATGATACCTCTGGGCCGGATGCTGATTTCAATGCAGTTGTAAATCAGGAGGTACTCCGCTGAAGCCAGTGGACAGGTATCAATCTAAAACTGGTATAAGTCGGAGGTGAATCAAGTTCATTTTCCCCTCAGAAACACGCACTCGTTAATTAGGAGTAAGTTTTCCTAAATATGTAGCACTGATTCTTAGTTTAAAAACACGCCCTCACCTCCACCGCCTCTACACACACACACACACACACACACACACACACACACACAGCAAATCAAGCACCAGCAGGGCTGTAGAAAATTCCACGAGGGGAACTCCAGAGTTTTCTCATACTTCCTTTTACCGTACAGCTGTCGCTATGAGGGGACCGTCTATTAAACGTGGAGGGTTTCCCAGCCAGCACTGACACTGAAAGTTGAGTGTTGCTGCCTTCTGATGTGAAATCTATGAAATCCAGATCCAGAAATGCTTTTCCGAAGGCTGGTTGTGTTTGCCCTGACTCCTAGAATCACAGAATACTAGAACTGGAAGGGACCTTGAGAGGTCATCAAGTTCAGTCCCCTGCCCTCATGGCAGGGCCAAGCGTGGTCTAGATCATCCCTGATAGATGTCTCTGCCTAACCTGCTCTTGAATATCTCCAGAGATGGAGATTCCTAGAAACATCCCTAGAAAGTTTATTCCAGTGCTTAACCACTCTGAAAGTTAGGAACTTTTTCCTAATGTCCAACCTAAACCTCCCTTGCTGCAGTTTAAGCCCATTGCTTCTTGTCCTATCCTCAGAGGCCACGGAGAACAATTTCTACCCTCTTCCCTATGACACCCTTTTAGATACCGGAAAACTGCTATCATGTCCCTTCTCCATCTTCTCTTTCCCAACGAAACAAGCCCAATTCCTTCAGCCTTACCTCACAGCTCATGTTCTCTAGACCTTTCATCATTGTTGTTCTTCTTCTCTGGACCTTCTCCAATTTCTCCACATCTGTCTTGAAATGTGGGGCCCAGAACTGGACACAATACTCCCACTGAGGCCTAACCAGCTCAGAGTAGAGCGGAAGAATGACTTCTCATGCCTTGATCACAACACTCCTGTTAATGCAGCCCAGAATCACGTTTGCTTGTCGTCCGCTATGACCCCTGGATCCCTTTCTGCAGGACTCCTTCCTAGGCAGTTGCTTCCCATCCTGCATCCCTAACCACTGCCCTGAGCCCCCCAAAAACCCAACCCCCTGCCCTGACTCCTGCATCCCTACCCCGCCAGCTCCCTTCCCTGCGGGACCCAAACAATGCTGGAAAAGGCTTCTACTCCTAACACAATAACACTGGAAGGAGATGTCCTGGCATTCCGAGAAGGGGGAAGCTGGTAACCCGGAGATCTGGAGTTGGAAGGCCCAGCTGAGGTCACCTGAACGCTGGGCTTCCCGTACAACCTTTCTAGGCGATTCTGGAACATTCCGAGCTGTGCTTTTCCCCCTTTCACTTTCAGGCCAAGACTGGAGCAAAGCATCCAGAAACTGCATTCAAGAGAGACGGTGCCTGAGCTATTTCTAACTGGGACTAGAACCAAAAGCAGTTGCATGAAGATCTGTGCACTGCAGGACTCTCCTAAAGGCAGAATGGAGAACTGGGACTGTTCCCAGCACAGTCACGGACTCCTGGTCTGACCTTTAGAAACTCACTTCCTCTTTCTGTGCCTCAGTTTCCCCATGTTTAAAATGGGGGACGCTATTGTTTAGCCCCCCTTGCAAATTCTCTGAGACCTAAGCGTGAATGAGCGCACAGTAATGCTAACGATCAGTGTTCTGGCTGAACAGCTAACGTAACGGTCTAGAAATCTACTTTGGTGAAGTCCTACACAGGTTCAAAACCTGCCTGCTATGTGCTTGTTTTAATTGCTTTTTTGATTGTGAGGTGTAATTATTATTTATGATGCTAAATAGCATATGATTTATTTCTAAATGATTTTCGGGAAAGACACTCCTAACTTCAAGCAGCTTCTGTATTAATTTGACAGGGGGAGCAAACCGATAATTAAGAACATCAGAACGGTCAGACGGGGTCAGACCAAAGGCCCATCTACCCCAGTTAGGCTTGCCAGATGCTTTCACCAAAAATACTGAGCATGACAAAAATACAACAACAAAAAAACCCCACAACAACCCCAGAGTCCAAACTTGGTTGAGCCCAAAAAAAAAAAGGGTGCTGCTCCTTTAAGAATCCCCGTGCGCCTCGATTCTCCCCGCCCACGCCAGACACGGCAGGGGAAGATTGTCCCTGTCGGCCTTCCGTCCGAGAGAAACAGAAAATACCGGATATTTTACATGTCTGGTATTTTCTGGTTTTTTTTTTTACCGGACAGGGGCCAGAAAAAATGGACTCTCCAGGTGAAAACCGGACACTTGGCAAACCTAAGCCCAGTTTCCTGTCTTCGCACAGTGGCCAAAGCCAGGTGTCCCAGAGGGAATGAAAAGAGCAGGGAACCATCCAGTGATCCCACCCCGTCATCCATTCCAATTCCCGTCCAATTAATAATAACGAGCAAGAAAAAGGGTTAGGAGCAGGCTCCGTAACTTCAGTGGCTTCCTCACCTTTCACTTCAGTAGCTGCTGTGCCATTTGACCATGCAGTCCACTTATTCCTATGCCTGCCAATTTCCTGGACTTTGCATATATAATGGCCTTGATCCGTTGGCCGGAGATGCAGAATTAGGAACTTGTACATTGTTCCATGTCTCTCTTCGAAAAGGCGAAGTCTTTGCTTGTGGAAGTGGTGGCTGTAGTTGCCATAGTACTGGACTACCCCAAATTTAGTCCTCTTGATCATCAGATACTCCTGCGTGGGGGAGAGGGAGAACACCCATCGGACCGCCAGCAAGTTGTCGGTCCGTCTCTTTTGGGACACGTGACAATACAGGGTGGCGTTGTCTCCCTCGGCGTAGTGCACGGTCGGGCCTGGCGAAACTGTCACATTCAGCGCCTCGCAACCATCTGCAAAAGAGAGAACGGCTCATGAGACTCTTCCACCCAAGCACCTCTGTCAACAAACAGCTGCGTCGGCAGGCATCGCCGAGGCGGATACGTGCAGTTGAATTTGTAAAGACTTTCTAGTGAGCTTTTAAACCCTGAGATTTAAGAAGGCTCTGATAAACAGAAGCTAGGGCCACCATTCCTACCCATCCTGGCTAATAGCCATTGATGGACCCAACCTCCCTGAACTTATCGAGTTCTTTTTTGAACCCTGTTAAAGTCCTAGTCTTCACAACATCCTCTGGCAAGGAGTTCCACAGGCTGACTGTGCACTGTGTGAAGAAAAACTTCCTTTGGCTTGTTTAAAACCTGCTACCTATTAACTTCATTTGGTAAATCCTAGTTCTTATCCCGTAAAAGACCATTATGATATCTCGACATGTAGAGGCAAATGCATCCTGGCTTTGTCAAACACACTGATTTTTCACCTTGGTGCATGAGAGATCATATTTCTGCTTCTTGCTTTCTAATATTTATCTGTGATCTACCTTTGATTTCTACAAAACTCTTGGCCTCAATCTTGTCCTGTGGCAATGAGTTCCACAGGTTATCTCCAATGTGTAATCAAACAATGAGCTGCTCTCTACCCTAGCTGTAGCTGTATTTCAGAATCAGGCAGGTGGTCCTTGCAATCCCCTCTGGGGTCCTTCAGAATTAAATGCACTTTGAAAATGTGAGGTCAAACTCTTGCCTCTCTGCATTGCTAGTACAAACAATAACAATATATGTGTAACCAAGGGAGAATGTATCTCTCCCTTCCAGTTACTTTTCCAGCACATCAATCAGGAACAGGTTAACCAAGAGAGGATAATCATTTGGCAGAGATTTTTCATCTGACATCATCTCCTGAAACACAAGCATATACTTATCTTCAAAATAAGCAAGTCAAGTATTTCCATCTGCTGTCAAAGGGGTGTGGGAACAACTAAATTGCTCAACTAAGTTGTACGATAGATAGATAGATAGATAGATAGATAGATAGATAGATAGATAGATAGATAGATAGTATGAGGATGAATAGATAGAGGAGTGTAGAAAGAAAGAAAGAAAGAAAGAAAGAAAGAAAGAAAGAAAGAAAGAAAGAAAGAAAGAAACTGATCTCTGTAAAGTGCTTTGAGATTTATAGATGAGAAGAGCTAGATACTAGAACTACAGTAATACCATAGACACATGTATTATTTTGGGCCTTTTTTTATAAAGCATTTTTAGTGTTTATCTTTCTTTTTTCAAAAGGGCTGTTGGAAAAAAAAGAAAAGAAGAGGAAAAGAAGGGTATTTTTATTATCCGTCATACTTCATGGACCTTATCTGAATTGATTTGTAAAATGAATGACCCAGCCAGCCATAGTGTAGATCGGTGATATTAATCGAGGGAACATAACTGTCCACAAGTACAGAAAATAGTAAATCCCCAGAGAGAGATCATTTTAGATTGTGCGAGAGCATAAGTAGAAATATGGGTGGAAATAAAGGAAATGGAGGCAGAATAGCAGGAAAGGCCTGCCTGCAGTGAGGCGATGATACTTTTATTATTTAGTTGTCTAGCACTAACTGTGCACTAATAAAACACTTTACAGTGAGATAGGGTGTAATATTTCTGAGACAGCGGGTCTTTTTTCCTAAATGAGGGTGTGGACGGCGCTGATCAAAAAATGAGAAATTTAGTTCTGTTAAAAAAAAAAGACACTTTAAATATTCCTGACCTATTCGTCAAGCATTATTAAAATGTTTCGATCTTTTGGTTGACCAAAATCACGTGGCTGAGTCAACTGAGCACACTACAAAATGTGATTGGACGTTACTAAAACATCCTGAAAGTTTTCAAGACAAACGATTGCGGGCTGTCCTTTTTGGATGCGTACACTTTTTGTTCCAAAAAAAAAAAAAAAGTTGACCAACTCTCATTGTGGCCGAATGTAAGAGCCCATTGTTGGGGTAATTTAAAACTAGACAGACGCCAATGCCAAAAAGTACTTCACAGCGTATAGAAAAGAGGAGGTCAAATACCTCCGTGGCAGAGACCAACAAAGGCAAATCTCCAATGTCGCTAATCACTGCTACGTGATTATCGGCCCCAGTATACAAGTTTTCTTTCTTTCTTTCTTTCTTTCTTTCTTTCTTTTCCATGTGTCTAAGCTTTTAACTGTTTGTTATGTTTTGGGGTTTCTTCTAAGAAATGATCTAATTCTGATTCAGGATGTGAACGTGTAACCATGTATTGTACACGGATACAGGCAGGATCCCCGTGTGCACCGGCTGCCCCCACAAGTGTAATGATTACTTAATTTAAAATGTTTCAACATCCCTAATTCTGATCCCCTTTCCCAAGCAAGAAGGCCCATAGACTCCAGAGGACCAGTTGCATGGGTAAGCCATGTAGTGTTTGGCCCAAACACTTAGCAACAGCAGAAAGTTTTAGGCCAAGAAATCCGCTGCTATCACCAGAGCTGCTGTGGGCAGGCGAGATTCGTGTAGTTGAGGCCCAGGGCATTTTAATTAAGAGTTAGGCAATGCTGTCTGTAAAACAAACAGAGTGATGGATGGAGCCTGGGGAGCCACAATAGATTTGGGGAGAACAAGGATTCTGTAGACACGTTCGGTAATGCAAACTGCGAGCCAAAGCTCACTGAAGACCATGTAAGGCCTCTCCTGACTTCAGTGAGTTTGGCTTAGCGCCAAGCGAAGGATATTCGCATAATAGACTCCTTCCCGCTAGAGGAGAATACTCCATCACTTATGCTACGTCTACACTGGCAGCTTCTTGCACAAGAACTGTTCCAGAAGAGAGCGTCTACCGGTGTCCTTTGTGGGCTTTGTCTTTCAAGGTGCTGACCGCTGCAGTCCCAATCAAATCAGGCAGAGCAAAAGGACTTACTGACTTCAAAATACAGGACTATGTAGCACTTTAAATACTAACAAGATGGTTTATTAGATGATGAGCTTTCGTGGGCCAGACCCACTTCCTCAGATCAAATAGTGGAAGAAAATAGTCACAGCCATATATACCAAAGGATACCTGTCTACACTGGCCTCTTGTGCAAGAACAGTTGCGCAAAAGGGCTGATTCCTGAGCGGGAGCATCATAGTTCTTGCACAAGTCCTGATTTTATACAGTAGAACGTCAGTTTACTTGCGCAAGAACACATGGCCAGTGTAGACAGGCAGCACGTTTTTGCGCAAGAGCGGCCGCTTTGGCGCAAGATCGCGCCAGCGTAGACACAGCCTTAGGCTATGTCTACACAGCAGCGTTATTACATAGTCCGCATCCACACAGCAAGCCGTTATTTCGACATAATGTCGAGCTGGAGGACTTCTTATTCTGACTCCTCATTGCACGAGGAGCAAGGGAAGTCGGAGGAAGAGTGCTCTACCTCGGACTCCCTGCTGCGTAGACAGCGCCAAAAGCCGAACGAATAAAGCTATTTCGACTTCGGCGACGCAACTGACGTAGCTCCAGTTGCGTAGCTTACCTGCTGCGTAGACATTGACGTAGCTCCAGTTGCGTAGCTTATTTTGGCGTTGGCCCTGCTGCGTAGACACGCCCTTAGAGCGCAGAGCCTTCCACACACACCTTGCTGAGTTTGCAGACGGTACAAGATTGCTGCTGCCAAGGGTTGAGAAATTTGGGCTAGCAGTGAAACTTTGCAAACAGAGAGAGCAGAGGGCGGCGAGTTCAATGCCGAGTACTTTTTGTGTGTGTGTTTGTCTTTAAAAAAAAAATAGAAAGAGCCATGGAAAAAGAGAAAATGAGAGGAAAAAAAGGATATTGTTGATTACCCGTAATACTTAATGGCTCTTATTTGAACTGATTTGTAAGAAGACGCATGACCCCGGCTAGCCATAATCTAGGTCAGTGATATTAATCGAGGGAGGAAAACTGTCCACAAGTATAGGAAGTTGTACATCCAAGGAGATGCCGTCGTCGGACGGAGCTCACCACAGGAGTTTAGGGCTTGCTGTTACCACTGCCAGAGACGGGAACTATTTATAGCACATGGAAGAAGTTTTTAAAAAATGAGTCAAAGATTCAGGACGTGGTTGATACATTCATAGACTCCTAGGACTGCACGAGCTAAGGACCTGACTCGGCAAATACCTAGGCACACGAATCCCATTTACTTCCCCGGGGCTCATGATAGTGAAGTTACTGCTACACACAAATGCCTGGAGGATCCAACTTTCTATCCTCCTCTCTACAAATTGCTGGGCAGAATATTCCTGCTAGCTTTTCAGAGGGGGGCTACTCGATATGGGGTGGGGGGAGAGATCAGGTTGATGTTTGGAGTTTCTGCCAGTGCTACTCAGGCCCAAGTGGAGGGGAGGAAGGGGCCAGCTCTGTAGCTGGTTTCCATGAAGCACTGTGGGTGTCCAAGTTTGCATTATTACGACTTCTCTGCAGTGCAAGGAAGGGAGAGAAGATGATCCAGGAAGAAGCGAAATCCTTTGATCCTTTGTTTCAATGAAAATAATTAGCCTACGGCAAGAAGGATCACAAAAAGCCACCAGATGGTTTCAGTTGCGCTGAAATATTGGTAACAGGAGGCCCCCTTGTCTCAAAGACAGCTTCTCAGCCTAGCTCTGCAGACCAGGCTGAAGCAAAACGCTTCTGGTCTCATTCAAAACTTTGTCTTGCTGCGAAGTTCCATCTGAGTCAATGGAGCAAATCAAAGTCCCTGCTTGGAAGATCCCCAAACTCCGAAGTGTAGGTCTGGAGTGGAGTGCGCATACGAATATTAATTGTGGAGTGGTGTGTTCATATGAATATTAATTGTTGTTAATCATCATTAATATCTGAGTGAACCCCATAGCTGGGAAGCACATAAATTACAGAAACACGGAGAAGTCCTGTGGCAACTTCTAGACTAACAGATTTACTGGAGCAAAAGCTTTCGTGGCCAAAGACCCACTTTGTCAGATGCATGTTTTTGCAGATTCAGACTAACACGGCTGCCCCTCTGATAC